CAAATGCTTGAGACTTAAGGAGTTTAAGCAAGCAAGAAAGCCTATGAACACACCTATCTCATGTTTTATCTTCTCATTTGTTGAATCTATCTTTTTGCTAAACTATCATGACTGGGAAACTCGAATTCTTGTGCCCCTGCAGCACAAAAAACCATGAAGCAGCACTTCCGCGTTCTGCCTCCCACTGAACTAGTGAGCAACTCCAGTAGGCGCTGGAACAGAGTACCGCAGCTTGCTGGGTGATCAGACTGGAGTCAAAGCAGACTGTTTGAGATGGCACACTTAATGGTTCATATGGCATCAGACACGCTTCCAAGTAGGACAGCTGTAAAATACAACCTGCTCTATGATCCTGTTCTTGGAATAGAATGTACCCAGTACAGACAGAATCACCAGAAAAGTAAATCATGACGTTCTAGAAAGCTGCAAAATGGGCACATTCAAACTGAAATCAGGGTTTGAAAGTTGCAGCAGAAAATTAACGTACAACACTAAAACCATGGTGATGTAATGGTCAGAAAGTTCCTTGGAAGAAAAAATGTTCTAGAACTTAAAATATATTAATGAACCATGTCTCACTGACGTGATCTCAGAAACCACAGAATTATTTTAAGTCTAGGCTCTGACGAAAACGAGGTTACACTGTCACCTTCTATCAGCTGATCCTAGGAACTTCGTAACAACACAGATTCAAAGGTAAAGCACAGAGGAATCTTGCACTGGGCAAAGGGATGGATCTATAAGTAATGGAAGCATGACACAGCTGAAGACTACATTAATTCTGCTGTTCATCAAATAACTTCTTTAAATTAAATACTACCAAAAAAAAAAATCTAAGAGGGACTTAATGTGAGGAATTTCGATACAAGTTATTGAAAACTAGCAAAGATAAAAAAATTTAAAGTAAGACCTCGTGATTTAAAAAAACCCAAACAACAAAACTATTAGTGTTAAATTAGAGTTTGATACTGGATTTTCTTAAGCAGATAACAGATGACAACTTTTTGTTTGGTTTAAACCTTTGTACATGCAAGTGCAGATATACAGGGAAAATTTCTCCTCACTGTCCTTGCATATCCGTTCTTCCTATCACTCAGTCTCTGAATTTTAGGGACAATCCTACTATAATAATACGAATTTTGAGTCAAGCTCCATCGATCTGAAGAGTTTCTAATCCTTATTCTGCACACAAGGTAGAAAAAAAGAGACTTCAATTTTGTGATAAAATCACCGCGAATACCTCAAGAATCTGAAGTACCTGATCTTCTTGCACTTAATCTAGCACCTTAACTGCATGACCGACCTTCAGAATTTTCTCTAGCTGAAGAATCCAAATATTGACAGGATAACTATTAAGCACCTTTTGTGCTGCATCATGTAAACGTGACCAAGCCCCCAACATTCACTGAAGGCAGTGACTGGATCACAAACCTTTACTGATTTGGGGATTTTGTTGTGATACACATCTTATGAAAGATATAACACTATCAAATTAAAGCTTTAAAACAAGATAATAGCTTATAGCACAATCACATTTCAAGAAGACTTATCGACTAAAATATGAAAAGGACTTCAATAATGGTGGCAGCCTGAGTTTTAACCAAATATCAAGTTTTTACAGCAGTCACAGCACCCTACACACATCTATTATTCCCAACTAAATTCATTCATCAATGACAGTTCATTAAGAAGAAGGTGGATACGTAAATTTTCCATTTAAATTCAGCATGAAGCTCAGTACTAGACAGAAGGCGGATGACTGCTTTCAAAGCAGAAAGATGTGACCTTTAAGTACAGTAACATATATGCAGCAGACTTCACATTTTTAGTGAAATTCTATAAATCATAGGTCTTGGGTTTATAATGTAGCACTTGTCAATAGAAGGCAGTCCCAATCCAAGTAAGCTTATTCAAAATCACATAGTATACAATACTTAGTATCTTGTACTGACTGTTCCAAACATACATGACATATACCCAAAAAATCCCTTAAACAATGGCATGTTGCTTCTAACAATAACTTGAACTATTACAAATGAAGACCTTTCCTCATCAGTGGAAGTTTCAGTGTTCTTTGTCAAAACTAAGCCACTAAAAAAAACAATGCAGGGTAAGAATATCCACTGTTCACCTAATAAGCTGAACTGCTGTTTAAGTGGTCGTTACAGCAGCAGTCCCTGACAAGAAAATGTTCACAACTGGCTTTCTTCTATCAGAAAATTCAGAATCTGTGGGAGTTAGTTTTTGTTTTGGGTTTGTTGTTTGTTTTTTGAATTTAAGACCATTCACAAGCTACAGAAAAACTAAATTATAGAGCAGTATGTATCACATTTGGTTAAGATAGCGGGTGAAGGGTAATCTAGGTTTTGAAATTCAACAAGATAGATTAATGTCTGGGAACAGGTTACAATGACAACATGAAGGCACACAGAGTCCTTATTTTGACTGAAGTAGGTACAATTCTTGTATTCGTTCTTCTCTGTCAAACTGATGCCCCACCAGTCTAGACTGTTAACTCCATATTTGTGCCCTGTAATTAGGCTCAAACACAGAACTTCAAGGATTTATTTTCTCAAGCGATGCTGTGAGAAGACAGTCCCACTAACCAACAATGCTCTAGGGACCAGTATGCAAGCATGAAGATAAGGACATCCCCCCTAGAGCTATGTATGGGATAGATATCTGACGACTAGCCCAACTGGCTAGCTGTCTTATGGACTCTTCCTTCCTGCAAAAGTAACCAAACTGAGTGCATGTTAGCAACAGGAAACACTCCCAGAGAACGGTACATGAACGTGTCACTTTTCATTACATATTAAATCAAGAGATGAGTCTGTTACAAGCTAGGGACAGCAGTAACAAGCAAGCACAGCACTGAATTCTTAAACACTGTTCTTGTCAGCTCCAAATGCAGGTAACAATCTCAAGCTATCATACAGGAGCATGGATATTGGCAGAATTCTTTAAATTGTCCATGACTCCTAAATCAAATGATATCTTGCAGCAAGGAAAGCAGAAAATGCACCCTGAGTTAACCCCGGCAATTCACAGTTGTGGAAAGAAGAAATTCCTGATGCAGACGTTAGAAATATTCTTCTAACTGCAAGCACTGTATAGAGGAAACAATAGCACATGCACACAACGCTGGTAAAGCGCTGACAAGTAGGCCAGTGAATGCTCGAACTTTATTTTAATAATCTTCTGGTATTTTACCAATGTGCTATTGAACATTTGGGAAGAGGAAAGACCTTAACAATCTAGTTTTCTATCTTTGCTCAGAGCCCAAAACAGCATAGCTTCTTAAAATGCACAGGAGACACTGGAAATGTACTGCAAGTTCTGTTAGTTTAGCATTGATCTGTATCCACGATCAAGCAGGTAAGTAAACATAAACCTAAATGCAGTACCTCAGTTTCTTGCTATTTCCCATCATGTTGAGGCCAATTGAGTTCCCTTTGAAAAGCCTCAAGCTTCCAGCTTTGCCTCGCCTTGCGTGTGTTTTTATGGAATCACCACTGGTGCCAACAGCTCCAGGACGACAACGAAGTAACTGTTAACAACAGAATTCACATACGTTAAACGACTTGGATAAAAGTTAAAAGAAAACAAACTATAAAACATTTATATAACTACTACTTTGGCTTCATGTTCAGACTGCTTTTGCATCAAATTTCATGTAAAATATATCCCATCTACACCCTCACTCACTAGGTTTCCTTACTAAACAAAATATTAATATTTTCAAAGTATTATGAAGTATCTTGCAGTCATAAGCTATTTCACTACACACAAAAAACCACAAAAACCATGGGGCTTGATTAGGTATCTTCTACTTTTACACTCACACATATTAATGCATAAAAAATTGGGAATCCGACAGTAAGCAATCATGGGACATAATGATTAATATAATCCCATTAATTATAATTGTCTAAACTTAAAACTAGTTATTCATGCTCGTGTTTTCAGAATAACATACGATCTCTAGGAGTAAGAGGAACAAAAACATCAATGGTAGGCAGATAAACAGCTTGAGCATATGTTGCTAAATCAGCACATAAACTTTCATTTTGTAATACCATGCAGATGACTATGCAGCACTGTTTACAAACCTAGCAAGCTTTAAAAATACATTCTCACCATGAGATAAACAGAGTACTTACCTTTCTTTCTTCATGGGCACTGAAAGGTCCATCCCTGTCTTCTACGCTGAACAGGTTTGCCTCACTAGATAGGTGTGGGAAAGAAAAGCAGATACATTGTAATGCAACAGAGAACCATCAAAACATTTTAAACACAAAGGGCTTTTTTTCCTTCCCTCTTTAATAGAAATACATCACATATACATTGTATATACATGCCTACAACAACAGGAACATGCAGTGGGACAGGCAGTAATCCATACGTATTATGTGAAACTGAACTTAAAGTGTACATCAAATTATTCACAAAAAGCAGAATTAAAATGAAGTTATTCATTCAAAATAGAGAATACTATTAAACCTTCAATATTGCTATGGCAATGTTCCTGACATCATGAAAGCTTCTATACAACCCTGTGCGTAAATTGAGTCAAATATTAAATTAACCTATAAAGCCCAGTCTTAGGTTGTTCATGCATATCAATGTCCAGGTATGGTTTAAAACTGCAAACTTCAGAGAGCTTTACAAGAACTCACATAAGTAAATTTCATCCCATACCAATTACTGACAAAATACGTCTTCCTAAAAACAGGGTATTCAGTTTGGCTCATCTACTCATTCAAATGTGTTTCTTTAGTACTTCTGTGTCTGCGATCTTCAATGATTATAATGGGGAAGAAGATACAAAAAAAAAAAAAAACCCATCCCCATCCCATGATACTGTGAAAACGTACTCTTTTCAGTAACAGGCAGTTATCCTCACATAATCTCAAGTATTTAAATTAACACCCCAGTCATATATTTTATACTGATAACAACTAGATCAGTATAAGATATAGATTTTTGCTTCTACGAGAAGCACCCTGCAGATAATCCCTTCTCATCAGTCCTGGAAACCTTCCTCCTCTCTTCGCTGCAACAAAATAATCCAACCGTTAGGCAACTTGGAACTGCACGGTTTGGGCTTTTAATTAAGACCATTCGGGCAGAAATTGCTCATGCCACGTGTCCCAAGGGATAGCTGCACAAGAGAAACAATGATGGAGGTGAAGGTGGACTCATCTCTTAGCTGCAGGCATGACATGTTGACTGCAATATACAGTGACTCCAGCTCTTTCGATAGAAGGTGACCACTCGGTACCCCCATGACAATCTTCAAAACACCCTTGCACACTGGCTATAAGTCCAGGACTCCAGGATGCCACAACACTGCAACTATCTTAACAAAGGGTGCTTGGATGCCTGAGAAAGAAGAAAAGGTAATGGACTGCAAACGAGCACAACACTGAAAAAATCCCTAAATCACAATGAATAACTCTTGTGATGCAACTACAATGACATGACTAGAAAAATATTTGGGAATTGGATGTTTTTAAAGAACAAATATTTTTAGATTTTAAGGAACACAAAGTATATGCATCAGTACCAGAAAGGGTGTCTTTGCAGAGCCCAAAATACACAGCAACTGAGTAATGTCTGTTTGCTGATGTATTACATGCTTACAGTTGCCTGCTTAAAAGATGCAATTTATACAGAGAGAAAAAAAACCCCATTCTACCACACTCCCACATAGCAGACAATAGCACTTTAACACTACTAAAATGAAACCTCAGTGGTCTTCCTGGGAAGAGGCTATTGTCACTTTTAACCAGGGAACCAGAGAGAGATTTTCACATTAGAACAATAACTCCCAACTATTCAATACTGTAATTAAAATTTTACAACAAATGGAAGTCTTTAATAAAATTAAGAAAAAAAATAGAAGTAATTCAGGTAAACAAAGTTCTTTTCAAAGGGGAGTTCATAGTTATGCATTCAAATGTAGGCAATGAACAAGAAAAAAATTATATTTAGTTTAATCACTTACCATTTGTTCAATGTTTTAAAACACTAAGAACTGTGCAATAGCTAGCTAGCTACCCCAGTTTAATAGACCATGTTTTTACTACTACCTGCAAGTACCACAAACTTGAACCCTCTCTTGATCACTGAGGTTACACTCCAACGAGCTGCAAGCACATTTCTACCAATTACCAACTGATCCGTCATGTTTCAAGTGTGATTGGAATTTCTTTCTGAAAACTCTTACATATAAAACCAGGAGGCTGACATATTTTCCCTTACAGTGCACCAGGTACGTTCTTTATTTTAGATTACATGGTGGTAGGCAGCACATTAACAAAAGCCCTGATAGCAGAGGCACATGAGAAGCAGTGGTACTATCCAACTCAGGCATAATGTCATCCTCTTAAAAATAACCTTAACTGTTAAAAAATTTAAAACTGAGGCTCTGAACAAAAAGTTCTTTATCAATTTAAAGGCTATAGTGCCTTACTAACACAGTCACAAAAGAAGCAGAAAACATCTATAAGTACGGGAGGGTTTTTTGAGAAATGAATAAAAAGGGGAAAAAGTATTGAAAAAAAGCTAAACAGAAATTAAAAAGTTATCACTGCTTTTCCAGTCAAGAATACAAGGGAATAAGCAGTTTACCCCCCCAAATAAAAGAAAAAAAAACTTTTTGAAATAAAATGTTAGTTAAGAAAGGATATTATAGTGCAAATTCATTATACCTATTTATTTGCACTCAGTTTTTGATAAGGCTACTATTGAACAAATTGCAGTGGACGGCCCAAGTCTGGACTATTAAAACACCAGTATGACAGCCAAGAGAAAGCTGGGGCCACCAGTTTACAAAACCACTGCGGGGCATATTGAGAAATATCCCAAAAACGTTTACCCAGTTATTGAAAAGGAAGTAAACATAAATTATTCAAGAGACTCTTCAAGAACAATCATCTGTAAAACTAGAAAGCATCTTACATGTTAATTTCAGCAATAAATTTAATTAATATATTACTTTGGCCACATTTGCCTACATCTTCCATCCTTTCATGTCTTCTGCTACGGAAGACACACATCATTTTCATCGTTTATTCCACGATGGTCTACACAGGTTTCAGTGTGTCCAACTGACCAACTGGTCTTCTCTTTTCTTCTTCTACATAAAGGCTCCTCTCTCCAAGTACAACGCAAGAAAAGTCACTTGCTGTCATCTTGATTGCTATCTCAAGTAGATGAAATCTCATAAATCACCAAAAATGTTACTTTTACTTTTCCAAGTCAACTGAAGATCATCTGCAGACACTTGTTTTGGGATAAGATACTTGTTATTTACGATTCTGAATGTCTTTAACCCTAGTTATTGCTGAGTATTGACTCTAGCACCATTTTAAAAATGTGCATATTGTGTTGGGTGATCATTCATTTTTCCAAGTCTTCTTCAGTTTGTAAGTTTTTTACTCTTTTTTGTGTTCATTACCTCACACCTTACCATTATGACACAGCCTAATTCCCCAAGGAAGTTAAGCAACACACTTCTTTTAGAATGATCTACCTCTGGTAAAATTGCTTTGGTAGGAGATCGTTAGCCATGTATTTAGTGTTCATCTCACTGAGGAAAGATAATCCAAGCAGACATCCAGTACTGATCAGCAACATTAGCATAAGTCTCATGGGGCAATATAAGCATACAGCCTTCAACTGCTAGGATGTTATTCTTGGGCCCATTCAAAACAAATTTATTGTGTGTCTGCCGTTAAGAGGGCAAAAAGCTGTTCTAAGGTCAGACACCAAAATGCTAGTGCCTCAGTAACAGGTATGAGATGCATCCAGATGCTTACTTCAGATTTACCGCTTCCTCCACACAGAAATGCATAAGTTACAAGCATGGCTAGTAAATATCAGCATAGAATGACATTTAAAAACATCTCCAGAATACACACTTATTGCATAGTATACTCAAAATATTGGGGGTGCACAAAGCTCTATGCTAGAACAATTCTATGAACTAAAGCTTCTGATCTTTGAAATGTTCTGCTAAGGTTAAAGGGAATTTAGAAGGAAAAGGACAATTTACTGTCAAATTGTTTGTTTTCTGAAGATTCCCTTCTGTTGGTATTTTGCTATACAAAGTTAAAACGTATCAGAAAAGCAAAATACACAAATTATTTCAAAATGCTCAAAGTTTACAATGTCATTAAGACAAAAAACCAAAAAACCAACCAACCAAACAAAAAAACCCAAAAATCCAACAACCAACCAGGTGTTACCAAAAGTAGCTTCAAACATATAGCTGTTTGGAGGGAGTAAGAAGTTGCCTGAAACAGTATCAGAGGATGGGGAAGCAAAAAAGGCAGGATTTCCAGTTTAGATCAATTTTCAACTACTCTTTCACCCAATACATTTTTATATGGCAATACTATTTAAAATAATCACTTCTTTGAAATACTTTTTATTAATCACTGAAATTTTTAGATATTTTATATTGTTTCTTAATAATAAATTACAAAAGTATTTCTTTATAAATAGACACTTATACTTTCAATAGCCTAGATAAAAGCATCCTTACTCTTTCTCTGTATCTCCTTCACTTTCTTCTGCATGATCAAAGCTCCAATTATTTTTAAAACCTCCATCTCGCTTGGACTGTGACCTATCCAAAGCTGAAATGAAAACAAGTTAAGATAAGTCTTAATTTCAAGCTGAGTTATTAATCAACACAAACCAGAGGAGTAAACCACATGTATATATTTTCCCCACGTATTTATTTTGTTGACGTCAATGTTTATTATTTGACAAAATAAGTTCAGCAATGCAGTAGTGACTCATTTCCCTAAATAAATACAAATTAGTATCTGTCAACATCTTGATTACTAATGCAACAAGTTAGTTAAAAATGATGATGTCAGGTAGTTCTACAAGGTTTTCAACTGTTTTACTGACACCTGTAAATTTAACAGATCCTTCTCTTATATGAACTATATGCCACATACAGAAAGGGTCATCACATTTATAATTTCAATGTCTAATACCCAAGCAGATATTTAATTTTTCCATATAAAAGCAACAGTCCTGAACTGCCCCAAGTGCAAGTTCAACATGCTTTTTCTTACTTCAACATCTGACACTGACCTGAATTAACATCTGATGTTAACTGAAACGTCAGTGTTAGTATCAGCTAAGTAAAAACCTGAACTTCCTGAGAACAGCTGCACCACACCAAATTTATCTACTGCACTATCCATCAGGAAGGACATTTTCATGTAATACGATGGCACGGGGGTATCCTTCAGTGAATGACATCCAGTGGATGGAGACAGCATTCATATTAAGGTAAGGCACTGTTCACCCCAGGCCCTAATTACTGAGAGTAAGAACTGTCTCACACAAATTCTATATGACAAATTATGCGGCAGCTTTGATTTCAGGATAATTTAAATGTGTATTTTTTGCAATGTTTTTCTTTACATAGTTGGAAAAGCACTTAGAAATAATGAATGCAACTCTGTATTTTGAAAGAAAAGAAAAAAAAAATCACAACCAACAAGAGACGTCTGGGTAAAGTATAAACAATGCACACAGAAATAGTTATTGCATATTTAACCGCTGCTTCCAGCTACTTGCATTTACCAAGGACTTCCGAGCCATGGGTGATATTTCTGTCTTTAACAGCCTTTACTAGCCCTTTCCTTCTCCCCGCTTGCTTTCTTCATCAAGCCTACTTTATCAAATCAACAGCATCTTGCAGCAGATAGTACCACAGCTTAATTAGACGTTATATGAGCAAGTATCTCCTTTTGTTTGTCCTGATTCAGTCTAACATCTTTTGCTCCTACTTAGTACTCCAGTCCTTCAGTGCTTGTACTTTGGAAGACAGTAATAAGTAATCCTTCCCTATTCACTCATGATTGCGTAGATCTCTGTTGTGTTCTTTCACGGTCATCCTTCTTCCAAGCAGAAAAAGAAGGAAAAAACAAGAGAGTCTTTTTCATTTTTCCTCACATAAAAGCTGTTTCATACCTTTAAATCCCCCTCAATGCTTCTCTCAGAACCTCTTCTAAGTCTGCTGTACCCTTCTGGAGAGGAGCAGAGGGTATCAACACCATGAGGAATATTCAAGATGCACACATACCATGAATTTCTACAGAAACAACATGATGTTTCTGTTGTGTTCTTTATTCCTTTCCTAACAAGTCTTAACACTGGATTTGCTGTTTTCACTGCTACAGAGAACTGCATTGATCTTTACATATTAGATAACTACATCTTTCACCCATGGTTGGTAAGAAACAGTTCAGAGCCAACCATTGTCTAGAAAAATTCTCCTTCCTACTTCTCATTCACTTGGATGACCTGGCATTTACCTCCACTGAATTTCATACATTTTAACCCACATAACCAGAAACCTGAGCATCTGCAATTTTCTCTAAATTTCTCTAAATAATATTATCCTAACCCAAGTAAAGCTTGCAACACCTACAAACTTTGTCACCTCTCTATCCAACCCTTTTCCTTATATCTGTGTATCAATGTTAACACAGAACCTTGAGGAATTCAGCAGGTGATTCCTTCTATTAACAAAACAAACCATTTCCCCCCCTCTCTTTCCACCTATTGCCAGGTGTTCCTTATAAAACTTGCAATTTTATCCAGAGGCAACTTAGTATCTCCAAAAGTCTTTAGTAAAGGACTTTACAGAAGGAATGATGAAATTAATTCTGGTCTTCATTATAATTTCTACAAATTTGGGTTGTATGCTCACAAAGTTCACTGATGTTAAGTTCCCCAAATACCTCCACCGCCCTTTAAAAAGCTGGTATCATACTAGTACCTTCTTTACCTGTAACAGAATGACAACCCCAACCAACAAGTAACAGCTACAGACATTAACTCCTTTATCCCCGAGTTCCTCTTACAACACTCGCATGAATGCATGAATGAGGAAGAATTTTTCATTGTGAGGGTGGTGAGACAGTGGCCCAGGTTGCCCAGAGAAGCTGTGGATGCCCCATCCCTGGAGGGGTTCAAGCCCAGGCTGGATGAGGCTTTGGGCAACCTGGGCTGGTGGGAGGTGTCCCTGCCCATGGCAGGGGGGTTGGGACTAGGTGATCTCTAAGGTCCCTTCCAACCCAAACCATTCTGTGATTCTAAGATCTTTGGCTTGTCAGTGTTGCAGCTTCCAGGCAAAAATACCTTGAGTAGTGGAGCAGGGGGAAAGTTATTTTTCAACGATTATCAGTTCCCTCCTGTGTTCAACCACACTATGACAGCACAGCTGAGATACAGGGCATCCAGGAGCTGAGGGTGTTTTAGGCACTACGGACACCAAAGAAAGCTGCATGGAACCACAGCCTAACCTACATCTATAGGTACATATTTAGAGATCTGTTGCTTAACAGATGCTTTAACTTTTCTCCCCCTAAATTAGCTGCAGATGCAAAAGAAGCTGTCAAACTCACTTCCAACAACAAGCAGTAACCACGAGTTGACAGAGAGATACTACATGAAACACAGAGTTCAGTAGGAAAGTTCTATGATACCAGCATGACAGATACAGATTATGGACTTTCTTTCACACATAAAGGCAATTTAATTTCTCAGCTGGCTAATACAAATCCCCACCCTTTCAAGAATGCATTGTCAACAGCAAAACAGCGATAAATACAGAGCATCTACTCCTGGACAAAAGGTTTACAAAGAAAAAGCATTTGTAAGAGGTCTGTAGTTCAAAGATGGGAAATAATTTTCGTATTCTGATAACAGCTGTTTTCTTTCTTCGGGACTTTCATACACATCGGGTTGCTTCAAATGCAGAATATCACATAGAATGACTGGACTCAAGAACACAGAACTGTGTAAGTTCCATCATTTGCCAAAGTGTGTTCAACTTTTTATAAGGGTTAACAAGGAGTAACATAAGAGGATAAAAGGGGGACAGAGCTTTGAAGTATGTTAAACATTTTCTTTGTGATGTCTTTGAAGTTTGTTCTGGTAAGACAGAGGTGGCAACCACACAATGGACAACTATTGTTTCTTGATCTTTTCTACTGGTTCTCCTAACAGATGCGGAGGATCACCCAAGGATGCTGCCCTTATGATAGCATCAGCAAACAATGCAGAAGTATTTCAAGAGGGTTTCTTTACACCAGCAGCAGAAGGAGTGCTAAGGAGAAGCTGGGCCCACTGCTCAATGAGACAGAAACCTAGTGACAAAGGACACGGAAAAAAATTGAAGAATCTGATCCTTTTTTTTTTGCCCCTCCAGATTTCACTGGTAAATTCTGCCCTCTGACCTCCCATTTCCCCAATTCTACCAGCAGAATCTGAGGGAATACAACATCAGCCATTGTTGGGGAAGATGTGATTAAGGAACACTTAAGCCCGTTGTACATGCAGAGGCCTATACGATCACACATGATGCATGTGATGGTGTTGAGGAAGCTCGCCAATGTCACTGTTAGGCCCCTCTATGTTATCTTTGAAAGGTCATGGCATGAGAGAGGTTCCCAACCACCAGAAAAGCAACATACCTATCTTCAAGATGGGCAATAAGAATCTGGTGAACTACAGGCTAGTCTGCTTCATCTCAAGGTTATGGATCAGATCTTCCAGCAATCCATTCCTGGGTACAATAACGACAAGAAGATGAACAGCCAGCATGGATTTACCAAGGGCATACTGTGCCCAGCTAACCCAGCTGCACCCTACGGTGAGAGGGCTGGCTACGCAGATAAAGGAAGAGAAACTGGTGCTGCAACGCCTTTGACATCGTCTCTCAGTGTCCTCACAGCCAGACTCGAGATACGTGGACTGAGTAAATGAATGAGAAAGTGAGGGGAAAATTGAATATGGGTCATCAGTGCACCCCCAGCAAGGGAGGCCAACCACATTACTTATTAGCAAAAAGCAGTCAAGAGAGGTGACTCTTGGCCTCCATAGGTAACTGTCACCAGAGTACTGCATGCAGTTTTGGGCTCTCCAGTATAACAAAGACTGAAAGGGCTGTCAAGATAGCTAGGGAGATCAAGCACATGACATAGAAGGAAAGACTAAAAAAGCTGGGTTTATTCAGTCTTAAAAAGCAGGGAGGAGAGAGCTTTTTGCTATCTTCAACTACGTAACAGTATGGCAGAGAGAAGATAAAGCCAGAGGTGCATAGCAAAAAAGGACAAGAGGCAATGGACACAAGCTGGAACAAAGAAAATTCCAACCCAACAAAAGAATGTATTCCTTACCATAAGGGTGCTCAAGAGTCCACCAGGTTGACCTGAGAGATCACAGAGACCGCACAAAGCCCTGAGCAACCTGCTCTTACTGCGCTTGCTTTGAACAGAAGGTTCCAACTAGCAGCCAAGTAAAACCAGTGACTACTCACAGGTACGAAGCATCGCCTAAAGGCAACTGCACCATCACCACAAACACTTCCAAAATGAAGTACCGTGGTCACCTTCCTTCTTCTCTCTAAGTCTACCACGCAAACTTTCCACACAAGTAAAATAATTTAAATGACATCTAAAGCAGGATCAAACAACAAAAGAAAAAAAAACCCACAAGTTAACAAAAAAGTTTTTTTTAATCTCTGTTATTATGTATATACATAATTCCCTACTTACATAAGTCCTCTATTGTTAGAGTGGAAACACACTAAAAATTCAGAAAAGAAGAAG